AAAAAAAAAGCAGTGGGGGAATGGCGTAGGCGGTATTTTGATCCGCGGTCTAATTTTAGCTCGGTATCGGCTTCAAATAGAAACTCCTCCATAAATATTCATGAATGGAGGGAAGAATCTGCTGCTCTGTGAGGCGGAGATGACAAACAGAGAGCGAAAGAGAGAGAGGAGGGCTCTGAATTCTACCTGAAGGTTATTTTTAGCTGCAGTGTTGCCTTTCTGGATTCACATGCGAACGGAGGTTAAATTTAGCTGCACAGACAGAGACGTGTGGAAATACAAACAGATTCATAATCAGAGCACGCGAGGAGAGCAGCGGGCGCAGCATTAATACAGAGATACGATGAGAGAGATGGGTTAAACTGGAAACATGAAAAGGTGAGGAGAGCGTGACCATCTCCTCACCTCAGTAATTTGAGATTAAAATACACACATTGTAGGCGTACATCATTGGGACTCATTGTTTGTATTATTTACACATAAAATTATGATTTTTTTTACCCCTTGCACACACAGCCTGTCTGTCATTCGTGCACGCTCACTCTAGCAGCCACGCTGGCACAGTCCCACTGTACTGTGTCTGACATTTTAGTCACTCGCACTTTCTTGGCCTTATTATCTGAGTCCCTGGACTTCTGTGATGCAGTCAGTGTGTCTGAATCTGTCACATGGAAATCAGCTTCTGCTGTTATGTAATAGCCAGTAACACACCAACGTCTTGGGGGGGAGAGTACTGCAGAACGCAGCAAGAGAGGAATGAATGCAGTGTTTTCATGCAACTGTAAAGGCTGGATTGTAGCAGCACAACTCTGCAAATGCCAAAGTTGGTCAATCGCTCATGGATTGGAGTAAAAGGTAGTCATTCATGGAGCCAGCAGATAGTTGTGGTTTTGCTCAGGTTGTGTCAAATGTCAAAAACTGTTGACCATGTGAAAAACACATTATTACTCCCCACCTTCTATACTGTGCACTCACTGAACTCCGACTTTGTTAGCTACACCTCACCAACTGTTTGTTAATGGAAACATCTGCCAGTTGAATGGCAACAACTTGGTGCAGGTAGGCGTGTAGCCATGGTCACTTTGAAGTCGAACATTTAAACCGAGCATCAACTGCTGTATGCAACACAGTGTACAGTGAGTATATATGCAACATGGCAGTTGTTAACGTCTTTCAATGTGTGCATTTTGTTACACTCTAGACCCCACACAGCTGCACAAGAATCTGATTTTGTGGTAATTGTATCACTGACATTTTGGGTTTGTGTGTTATTATTCTCTAACACTTTGGAACCCATACCTACGCCATGAGATTTTTATTTTGAAATATTGGTTTCCCCGTTCTGTTTATTTGAAAGGGATCAAGTGTGTCTCAGCATCTGCCCTTGCAAAATCCTTCATGTTCTGCTAATGGTTGTTTTACTAAAGTGTGGATTTCTATTCTGGAGCTCCTCACGCTGTTTAGCAAAAGGAGATGCGTTGCCAAACGGAGCTGCTGGCCGAAAGTCTCCGAGGCTCAGAGCAACGCTGTGGGAAAGTAGAAATGTAGATCACAGGAGAAACATGCCTAGACTGTGAAGAAGGACCTTGCCGTGCCTTCGTTTGTTGTTTTCCTCTGTAGTCAGACGGTGTTTTTCAGGAGGAACTCCTCTTCACCTGACGCTGCGCTATTTTTAGACTCGCCTCTCTCGTGTAACCCACGTCAGTACTGTGCTGCTATTTTTATCTCTGCTGTTCGCTCACAGTCGGGATTCATCTGTATGTACACGCGCGCACGCGGACACATACACATACTTGTATCACGAGAGCATCACATTATCTAAACACATTTCATGCCTTTACTGTTTCTCTGCATGATGATTGTGTAGCTGTGGAGTTCAAGTACGTCCAGGCTGGTTGCCTGACAGCCTCAGATTTCGCTTGATTCGCTGTTTCAAATGCTATACTATCTTTTAATGTTAAATATATTAATAATGAAAAATGGGTCCATCCTGCCAATCAGCTGCTCTTTTTTGGATCACTCTAATAACACACTTAATGGATTTTAGCGGTTAGTTATCCTATTTATAAATCAGCTATAGCATTGCATGCAGCCACCAGTGCTGAGAGCTATTCTTCCTCTTTGGATCTCATCACCTCCTCATTTTGGTCTCAGTCTGACTTGGATGTGTTTTCTTATCCACCATTGTTGCTCGGCTTGAATTGTGGTGCTGATTTTAGCTTACTTCCTGAGCTGTGAGCTGAGCTCATATATATCACAATGTCTTATCCTTTTTTTGTCACCCTTCTAAATTTGAATTTTGAGTTTTTTTTACTTCTATGTTACTCTATTTCCTCTTCAAGAAAGGACAATATCAGATTGAAAGCTTGTGTGATAGAAGTCTTTATAAGGTCTGTAGCGATGTTTTAGATATGAATATTCCATCTTTTAGTAACTGTGTCCATGTTATTGGCACCAGAGGAGCAGCAGTCTGGTTAACTTGTAACTGGAATTTTGTAAAAAGTTCGTCTGTCAGTTTGGTCTGAAGGGAAATGCTTATTCCCACATTTATTCTCCCTTATTCTTTTTATTTTATGGCTGTTGCATTTATACTGCCTGCAGCTCTTAATGGAGCTCGTTTTCTCACCTCAGTGCATGCTGACCCACTTGACCAGCTACTCGGTGTATTTCCAACAACGCTGTTGACAGCTGGTTTTCGGTTGCTCCTGCCTGATGCTGCAAACAGTCACAAAGTGCTGAACTGTATTTGTTTGACAGACTCAGGGATATAAATTCATACACACCAGCTATTGTACACATAAATGCACACATTGCAGATATTCTGTGGGAGATATTTTATGGCACTGTGTGTCTAAGAATGGAAAAACAAGCTTTCCAGGAAGCATGGACAGTTTGGATGGATTCATTTCTTCTATTTCCTTTCCTGATCAAATCTACAAGCTGGTAAATTCCTAAATAGCCTCTTAAGCCATCTAACCTTAATAAATTCTCTTTGCATTTATGTCTTCTTAGTTTTGATGTGGAGAATGGATTGTCTGTGGGACGCAGCCCACTGGACCCTCAGGCCAGCCCTAACTCCGGTCTGGCCCGACCGACTAATTTCCCTCACAGCCAGCGGAGGGAATCTTTCCTCTACCGCTCTGACTCCGACTTTGACCTTTCACCCAAAGGTCCCTCCAGAAACTCCTCCACTGCCAGTGACCTGTAAGTCCACCAGTTGAAACTGTTAATCCTCTGTCTCTATGTATTGAGAGGGGCCTAAAACAATCCCTTTGGATAAATCCAATGCCCCGCCTAGGAATCTTGTTGCTTTACATGTAGTAATCTGTTGATATCAAGTTCTCTAAAAGTAAAAAAGAGCTTTTTACATCTGAAAAACACGGGTAAAAGTTTTCAAAGTATCAACAGCCATTCCTGATGCTGTGCTTTTTATCCTAAAGAAATACCACTAGGATCACATGGATCATATTTGCATTTCTGCTTTTCTGTTCTTCTCTATCTGTTTGAGCTCAGAGGTTTCCGGGCTGGAGAAGCAGTTTTGTGCCTCGATTTACGTGCTGGCTCCCTTACCTGTTTGCAGTTTGAGTTCTGAAGCCAAATTGTCACGCAGTTTAACGTTTTTACTTGTTTTTCATAGAGTGAGGAGGACTGTTAAGAAAGGTCCACCTTGAGAAGACTGAGCTTTCTCAAATACTTTATTAGGACATGCTATGTATTGCTTGCAGCTGTTTTCCCATCACAAAGTGCTTGAATGTCAAATCTATTCCACTGGGATTCTAAAGAAAGGAATATTTTGTTTGTTTTTCTGTGTGTTTCAGTTACATCCCCAAGCAAGACATTATAGATTTCACGCTATCTAAAAAAAAAAAGAAAGAAAGAAAGAAAACCTTCAGTTTTGTAATTGAAGCAGTCACAGATTTCTTCAACCTCTTGCCTATCTGTTTTTAAAGGGAAGAAAGCTTGAAGCATTGGGAAGTCAACTGGTTGTCATCTCGGTGAGAAGAACATGATAAACAAAATAAATTAGGGCGAAAATAAACCCACACTGGCTCTGTCCCCTGAAGGCCTCTTCTGCATTCCCTCTGGATGGCTTCATGATCATTTCCCTCCTTTCTCCCGATGACTAAATATCAAAAACCTCTCTTGTGACCCCTGTCAGGCTCTCTAAAACACCCCGTTCTGTTTTGTTTGTTCTTGCATGCGACGCTTAATCAGAGCGGAGTCAAGTATAATAACACACTTTTGGGTTTTTTTTACTCATATTTAACTGTTCATAACGTGTCGCCCACCCTTTCCACCTCACCCCGACTGTTTCCTCACCGGCCTCACTAGAAGCAGTGCATGTCTTTAATAAATTAAAATAAACTATAATAGATACGAGGAAGGTTTCTTTTTATCACTTTTTGGTATCACAGTTTAGGGATTTATAGTTGAGCTTCTCAGTATTTTGTGTTTTTTCATGCTTTTTTCCTCTTGTGTGTCTTTTCTGCAGACATACAGAAGACATGATAGTCACACCGTTTGCACAGGTGAGTCCTCTGAAATCTTTTCCAGTCAGCCTGTTTTACTTATTGTGTTATTTGAAAATTTGGCAGATGGACAAATTAAGAAAAAAAAAAAACAGCCTCCAGATGGTATGAGACTGGGTTTTAGTGCTCTACCGGAACATCCCCTCAGGATCATGTTGGCCCTGCGACAGGATCAGCATCCCGCTGGTGTTGCCTAGCTCTTGCGTGGGATGTGCGTCACTCCTGTGCTCACTTTACACAGTGAAAGGAGCTGAGAATCCAATACTGCTGGATCATGCTGTTTAAGATATGCATGGTGGCAGATAAGGCTCATGCATGGATCAAGTCTGGACATCTGATACTCTGTGGGCTTTCTCCTCATGCTGAGTCAGTGTTTGGTGACAGATGCAGTGGCAGACGTGACCTAGAGGAGTGTCAGTGATGCTATGAAAACATCAGAAAGGGAGTGGGGGATGCCTTTGGGTAGCACATCTGCCAAGAGTGGAGAGCCACAGTGTCAAATGATAGTCAGTGATTTGTGTTGAGAAGCACTTGTTCAATGAAAGTGGAAGCTTTTATGAGCATTTAAAGCTACACTTCATCACATTACAAATGCGTCATTTGATGAACTCGTACATTCACTCCTTTGTTCCTCTCGTAGGTCCTCGCCAGCCTGAGGACGGTCCGAAGTAACTTTGCCGTCATAACCGGCCAGCAAGATCGCACGGCCAGCAAGTAGGCGTTTTGGAGACTTCCTAAGTCTTTTTGCTCTTTCACCACCAGACTTGTGTCTTTAATATGTTCACTTTGGATGGTCTCTGTCTACAGAACACGATCTTCAGGCAGCAACCCACCATCCATGTGCAAGACCAGCCTCGCAGGTTGGTAGCGGCTTTGGAATGAGATATTTACTTATTAGCCCAAAATACACACTGGTTAAAAAACAAACAAACAAACAAAAAACACATACACACACACACAAACACACACAGATGGCAAGGATATTAACACGATTGGGAATCGGGAAATCTGGGTTACTGGAAACACATCACAGCTGTTTAATTAGTAAGCGAATGTTGTTCAACAACACATGAAATCCAGTGGTGGGCAAGTATTCCAGCCATGTGCCTGTAATGATGATTTTTTAATGCTTATTGTAAGTCACTTGTATCCTCATCCCATGGATACAATTACTATGAAACAAAATGCAGCTCAATATTTGAGAGGGAAATACCATTAACATTTCCTCCC